TCTCATCATCTTTCTTACATATCTTCAACTTTTTCTTCTTTTCTATTCTTATATTTTATATCTGTAATATTTCTTTTTTTTCTTTTAATGAATATTATTTATATTATGTTATTAATTTCTGTATGATAATATTCTTTATTATAATTGAGTATACTGTTCTTTTAATAATATCAAATATAATCTCATTCTCGTATTGTTATATTTAATACTTATTTTGTCTCTTCTATTTCTTGTTTTTCTTAAACATTTCAAAGAGAGTATACAATTTTCCATCACTTATCTTCATAGACACTATTATATCATTGTTAAAATTGTTTTTATTCTTCTTTCATTATTTATATTCATCCATTTCAAATAATTATTCAATATAACTCGTTGTAATTGTTGTAATTTTTACAATTATTTTGCAATGTTTAGTTCATAATAATTTCCTTACCCAATAATTAAATATATAAGAAAACAAAAATTTGTATTATTTTTATTTTCGTTATTAAAAACATAATTTTTATTCTAAGAGAAATATAAAAAATATAACACAAATCTAAAAAATGAAAGAGAGCACAAAGGATGCCTAAAAGAAGTATTAAAAACAAAAAAGAACCAGAAGACTCACTGAAAAAAGAAAAAGAAGAAGAGAAAGAAAAAGAAAAAGAATTTCTTGAGAAGCAAAAGAGTTACTTTGAAGATTTAGAGACTTTTATTCTTGAAGAAGACATAGACACAGGAGATAAAGAGACAGAAAAGTCAATTAACCAACAAGAAGAAGTTGGTATAGTTAGCACAATTGAGAATGGCCTGGAACAAAATGAAAAGTCAACTATGAAAAATAACACAACAGAAGAGAAAGAAGATGATGAGAATGAATCACTGAATCAAGAAGAACAAACAGAACATTATGCAAGAAAGAGAATAAAGGAAAACTCTTTTTTGTCTGAACCAAAGCGGTGTTTGGATTGAGTTTATTTGTTGAATAGATTTGAGGTCTTAGTTATAGCCAGTTTTGTGGTTTATGGGACTGGGTTCAACAAAAGTATAAAAATAACCTGATTACTTTTATTATTTAAAACCTTATAAATGATGGTGGTTTATTCCTTTCAGATTTAAATTAGTTCTTTTTCAACTACAAAATTATATCTTTACTCATTTTACAGTCTTCTTTACTAACTAAGTTAGTAGTGTTCCTTTATTAAATCTTTTTAGGAAATTATTACACTTGTTGAGTTTAAATTGCAAAACCTAGTTTTACTTCATTAAATTGAATAAACCTAAGCAAAGCAATTGTGTAAATAAAAGCAAACGCATTTGGCTATTTGTTAAGTTAATTAATTAAAAAGATACTTGCCTTGTCTTATTAAGGTCTCTAATTGTAATAGTAAGAACAGTTATTTTATAAATGTGGTGAGGTCTAGCCTTGTAATCAATTAAGATGTTTAAAGACATATATTATCTGTTTTTAAAAACCATAGAAGCACTTATTATCATAAACTTATATTGACTGAATTTATGTGTCGAATATTCATATTAAAAATAAGAGATTGAGTTAACTAGAAGCCCATTTATTGACATAACAACGGACAACGTTAATATTTAAATCATGGATAATCTGCCAAATTAAATAACAAAAATACAAATAATTTTTTTGTGATGTTAATCTTTAAATTTTCAAAAATTAAAACAAACCTCAAAAAAAAAAAAAGAAATGGTAAATAAAATTAATACTAATTTAAAACTTTAAAATAATTTTAAGATCTTATGGAGAGTAATCAATTACCAATTCAAATAATTATCCGTGAAGGACTTCTTACTCAAATACTACAATATTTGCCAATTGATGATGTGATTAATTTTAGCGAAGCGTATCCTAGATTGAATTCTGATTATTTTGCGTCTTATCTTTTCTGTAAACAACATAAGCTTTCAGTTTGTTTGTTTAAAAGAAGTGTCCAACGACCAAATACTTAAGTTTTAGGGATCAATTTCTAAGCACTTATCATTAAAAAATAGATCATGGAAAACTTTATGCTCATTGAAAGCTGAACTTAACACGGATAATAAGTTTATTCCTAATGTTAATTCTAATAGATTTGGGCTGAGCATTGAAGGTAATGTTATTATCAATACAAATACGACAAATGATAGAAGAAATACTATTATTGCAAAAAACCCATTTTCACTAGAAAATCGTTGGTTCACATTTCCTATTTTGTTACACCAATACATCCTTTTACAAACACCAGTCTTTTATTATGAGGTAACAATCCTACCAACTCCTTCAACACATGTTGTAGAAGAATTTGTTGTTTCTATTGGTCTTGTCAATGAAAGAACATACCCTGAAGACAAACAAGTTGGATGGGAAAATGGAGGAATAGGAGTTCATTCAGACGATGGTAAATTATTTCATCAAAATGGTTCTGGCGTTAATTTTACAGAACCATTTAATTCAGGAGAAACTCTTGGGGTTGGTTTTATACCAAGGAGTTATCAAGTTTTCTTTACAAAGAATGGTAAAAAGATTAAAAATTCAATTACAGTGAAATATCAAAAAATGTATCCTGCATTAGGATTTTCTACTGCGTATGCTGTTGAAGTTAATTTTGGTCAAAAACCATTTATATTTGATTTGTTAGAAGAAATTAACAAAATATAAAATGAGTTTTGATATTTAACAATTATTTTAGTTTGTATAACAATTTAAATAAAAAATTGAGGAAATCTAATAAAATAACTTAAAAAAGAAACAAAAGAAGTTTAATGAGTGAAAAACTTATATTTACACGATCTAATCAAATAGATATCAATGGATTAAAAAAACAAAACGAAGAACTTAAAAAGAAGTGTCAAGAATATGTTGAAATTGTGAAGGGATTATTAGAAGAAGTTGAACGATATAAAAATGATAAAGAATTAATTAAACTTAAAGAAGAGAACGAGTCATTAAAAAAAGAAATTCAAATTACAAAAGAGTCATGGATGAATGATATTAATAAAAGAATGGAAGAAAAAACAGAATTAGAAAAGAAGAATGAAGAATTACAAGAAGTTATTTGTGAAATTAATAAAAGAAAAGAAGAAGAAACAAACATGTCACAACTCATAGATAAAATGAAAGTGTTATATAAAAATTATGTTGATGTTGCATATGCATTAAATCCTGCTTATAAAGAATCAACAGGAAATTCGATGAGACTTTCATTAGGAAATACAGAACTATCAATTTCAGAAATTAAAAGAAAAGAAGAGACAATAAATGATGTTCCATTAGTACATGATTCAACATATATTTCTAATGGTTCTACACCATTTGAAGAATTATCGTTTTATAGAAATGATATTAAAATAAAAGAAGAAAAAGATATAAGTCCAGTAAAAACTAATCTTACTGTTATTGGAATTGAAGATAATGAAGAAAATAAATTAAAAAATAATATTAAAGAAGAAGAAGAAAAATTATTAGAATTAAATAATCAAGAAAAAAAACCACTTCAAAGAACTAAAACTCATCCAAAATCTTTAAGTAAAAAACAAAGTATTGTCACAATTCAATCACTAAATCATAATGATATAAATGATACTTTTCAAACTACTTTTATAACTGATAATTCTTCTAGTATAAATGTATTAAAAAAGTCTAATGTTATTTGTTTCACTGGAATTAATGATAATTCTAAGTCAAAATATATCTCAGAAATCCAAAGAAAAGGTGGTATTTTTTCTAATTGTTTGGATGAACATGTAACACACTTAATTGCTTATAAAAAAATTACTAAAAGTTGTATTGTAGCTTTATTAAGAGGTATATGGATAATGCCAATAGAATGGCTTTTTTCTAAAGGAGATTATTTTGAAAATGAAGAACTATATGTAAGTAAAAAAGAAAGTGGTTTAGAAGGAAAAAAGATTTATTTTTCAAAGATTTTTGAATTAAAAAAAGTTAACGTTGAAGTAAAAGAACTTATTATTGAAGTTTGTTATTATTTATTAAAATAAATAATATTTATTCATAAAAATATTAAAATGACTTACAAAAATAGGAAGGTAAAATAATTGTTGTAGATGAAATATCTAAATGTGATATAGCTTTAATTGGTGAAAAAGAAAATAAGCCAATTGGTTATAAAGATAAGGCTTTCACTTTTCATGAATTTCTGAGAAAATTACCTTTTCCTTCTTTTGTTTGTTTATTTATTATTATTTTAATGAAAATATCAAAATGTTCATATCTTTATAGCTTCAATAATAATAAAATAAACTTAAAACTAATTTTTAATGTAATATAAAATTAATTTTATTATTCTTAAATATTCTTTCGATTTTATACTTTTTGAATCTATAAACAATTAACTGATTCTAATACCTTTATTTAATTTATTTTTCTTTTATTCTATACAATCTTATCATATATGTTTTACAACTTATTTCATTCATAAAAATAAATACTTTAAATTAAACATTATTTAGGTAATTCTTCTAGCCTTTTGATAATATAGTTTTCTAACTAACTTTTTTAAACTTATTTGATAAAAAATGTTTTAGATTTAATCGGTGTAACGAAATTATAAAATAACATTATTATCTTTTCTATTATCAGATATTACTAAGTTATATCAAAATTTTAATAGAGATCAAATAACATCAAATTTTTTTATCTATCTTATTTATTATAAATTATTAAAAAAATTATTAAATTATAAAAAAAGAACAATCAAAAATATATTTGAAAAATATTATTCTATTTTATTTAACATTAAATAGTTTAAAAAATTTATGTCTATGTTAATGTTATATTCAAATCAAATAAATAATTATCTTATTATCTTGGAAAATAATTTTATAAAAGAAACGATAAATGTATTTTTATTAATTAGAAACGAAAAACCATAAATGTGTTCAATATTTTAAGTAAACTAAAATAAAAGAAATAAGTACATTCAATTTATTAAATAATTGTTAAAAGAGAATAATCTTCTTTCTGAAATACAATCAAAAATCCATTGAAATGAAATAACAGGTATTCCAGATTGTTTAGCACACTGAGCCTTTTTACTAAATAATCCTTTTAAAATTAAACATGTTACAATAGAACTATCTAATTCATCTAAATAGAATCCCCCACAAGACTCAATCATTTCTTTTAACATTTTTCTTTCATCTTTCTAAAAATTTATTCTTAATCCTTCATTTTTCTTTTAAAAGTATAAACAAACATTAAAACCACTTGTGCAAATAACGTTTCCATCAAGAAACTGTATTGGTTTTTCAATCATATCAACTTGCATATTTTATTTGATTAATCAATTATTTTCAGTTTCATTTTTTTTCGTTTCTTAAAAATTAAGGTATCTTAAAAAAGAAAAATAAAAAAACATAAAAAATTATTAAAATAACAAAAAACTATCTAAAAAAATTTCATTTTCTCAATCATTCTAAACATTCACTTTTGTATATCTCTTATTAGTCATAAAAATGAAGAGCAAATACTATTTAACATTCCATTTCTTGTAAATTGAATATACAATGATAAAATAAAAAATATGCATATTAATTAGTAATTTTTTTCTTCTAGATATTAAAAAAAGTTAGTATAAAAATTGTATTAAATTACTATACCCTTTTTGAGGTATTCATGATATTTTTTTCAATACAAAAAACATCTTATCAATAAATAAAAGAATAAAACTTGTTATTCTTTTTGCATAAAAAAATACATTATTAAATTATAGCCATTAAAAATCAAAAAAATGTTATTTATTATTTTTTACTTAAAATTTTTTGATATAATTTGAAGAAAAAGTATATTTTCTAATAAATAAAATTAAAAAAGAAAAAAAGAAACAAAATGTTATAACAGTAAAACAACATGTCAACAACATTAAATGAAATTCCTATTAGCACTCAACTTGTTAAAATTATTGATTATATTTATCGTAAAGGATTAGACACACCTTGTATGTTATTGGTAAGAGGAAATGATAAAGAAATGATGGAAGTTAAACATCTTTTACACAATGGAGAAAGTTTATGTGGAAAGAAATACAATGTACATTCCTTATGTGGGTTATTGGTTTCACAAATTAATTCAGTTCCACCTATAATTCCAACAGAATTTACTACTCAAGGAATGTCAATGGAAAGTCGTGATTTTTGTTCACTGTTATACAAAAAATTACCAACATATAACTTTAATACTTTTTATTATATCCTTTCATTCCTCAGAGAATTATTAGTTCATTCTGAAAAGAATGGACTAACCTCTGATCAATTAGCACAAATGGGTGTTGGCATGTTTGTTCCTCAAAGAGATCCTTATTGTTCACAAACAACTCCAGTAACAGAAAAATATACATCTTTTATAAAAGATGTTTTAGATTTAAATTTAATGTGAAATATCGTTAGGTTTTACCTTTTCGGATAATATAAATAAAATAATCACTCACAAACTAAGAGATAAATAAGTCTTAAAGAAAAGAATGAAAAGACAAGTAGTTTTAATGACCAAAAACAGAATTAATCTCAGAATCAAGTCGTTGATATTCTTCATTCGATTTACTTAATTGTTGAGATAGAGAAGGTTGTTTGGAGAGTTTTTGAGTTGAAATAAGTTTCTGTTTTAAAAGTATTTTAGCTAATGTTTCAAAGAAGTCTTGAATATTTTTACCAGAACGGGCTGAAACTTCAAAATAATTTACTCCAAGTCTTTTTGCTAAGTCAATTCCTTCTGATCTTTGTACTATTTTTTCCTTTTTATCTGCTTTTGAGGCAATAATAAATTGGACTTTTGGATCTGAATGGCTCATTCCAAAAAATAGCCATCCTTCAGTATCTTCAAATGACTTGTAATCATCAAATGAAAATACTGCAACAATGGCATCTGCTTTACCAATGAAAACTGGTGAATCAGTCAATATATCATCTTTTGGGCTATGATAAAGGTCCATAATAACACTATACTTTGTACCTTTTTTTCCTGTTAATTCAATAATTGTTGTGTCCTGCCGATGTTAATGTCAATTTAAATACATTATTATAATATTGAAAATCAAACAAATAATTTAGTTGGTTCTTTTACATGAGCGTGGAACTCTCCTGTAATGTGTTTATTAACAATAGAAGTTTTTCCAACTCGATGGTTTCCATAAAACACAACTTTAAATCGATACTGATTTTCCATGAAATGATAAAACGATAAATAAATGATTAGGTGTTCATTTCTTAAAAAGAAAAAATTATTCAGTAATAACATAATAGTTTCAAATACTATTTACTATAATATAAAATATTTTACTCTTTAAACATAAATACAAGAAAATATAATAAACGTAATAAATAAAAATATTAATAAATAAATTATTAACGTCTAAAAATAAGGTATATGAAATTGTTAATATATTTTGTCTTTTTTTTTGTTTTTAATCATCTTCACTGTTATTAGATGAAGAAGAGAGTGTAGATGATTCACTCTCTTCTTCTTTTTTCACAATAACCATCGGTACTTCAACGTCAGATTTTTGGTCAGATTCAACTTGTGTAGGTTTAGTTTTAGGACTATCTTCAAATAGTTCTGAAGACATTTGCTCTTTTTCTTTTTTATCTTCACTACTTTCTTGACCTTCTTCTAACATTTCAATACCAGCGCCTTCTCCTACTCGTTTCTTTCTTCTGATTTCAAGAACTTTTGTCACTGTCATTAAAGTAGCACATAGCACAATACCAATAACTTGTAATACAATACCTTGATAAAGTGCATATCTTCTATCATCCATTGCTGTAGCAAGAAGTCCAGCAAATAATGGACATAATGAACATGTTAATTCTCCAACACACTCAGTCAATCCTAAGATTTTACCTTTATTTTTTGGTGGTGAACTAACAGAATAAACAACAATTGATTGAAGTTCATATCCAGATATAATTCCTATAACAACAGCAAATGCACACAAAATCCACCCATTTCTAATAAAGACCATTCCAACACTTACTCCAGCAATAATTATCTGAACAATAATATTGAGACTTAAAACGTATTGCCAATGATGGAATAAACCAAGTACAAAGAAGGTAATTGTTTGACTAAAGTAAATAATTCCAAGAAACACACTAGCAAAAGTAGCAGGATCATCATTTACTCCATTTAATACAATTTTATTTTCATCAACAAAATCAATGTATTGGTTACCAAATACAGCAATTGTACCATAAACAGTGAAATGAATAACGAGATTATTAAAATAATACATCATAAAATAATAAGGGGTATATATTGGTTTAGGTTGTTTCTTTTTTTTTGATGAGTTATTCTTCTCTTTCTTTTCTTCTTTTGTAATATTTTTAATTTCATTTCTTTGAATTGAAGATTTTGGTTGTTCTTCACTTTCATCTGATGAACCTGATTTACTATTATTAAGTTCTTCAATATCAACTGAAATATCTGAAACACTCTCATGTCCTTTGCCATTCGTTTCTTTTTTTCTTAAAGCCTTTGCTTCACTCCGAGTAATCCCACTTCTATTTCTTGGCATTCTAGGGAAAAGAACAAAAGAGATCAAAGAGATGAATGATGAAAAATATAATGAAAACGTATTTCCAAAAGCAGTTTTCATTGGTCCACTAACACAAAATCCAATAGCTTTTCCTAATGACCATGAACAAGCAAATCGTGAAATAACTTTGTTAACTTCTCCTTTATATGCTTCTTCAGACAACATAAATTCACAGATTGACCAGAAAAATGCAAGTGCAAATGATTGAAGTATTAAAATAAAAAAGATTGGAAGTAAAAGTGTTCCTTTAATGTAGTATAAGGCAATACAAATTCCAGAAATGGCCTGTAAAACAAAACCAATACGACAAATATCTGCTATTGGAAACCATTTTTTATTTAAAAACAAACCAATTACGGGACATAATAATCCACAAATCCCAAAGGTAACAGCATCTGCTAAACCAATTAAGAAAGAACTTGCACCATTTTCTTTCATTAATAATGGAATAATTAACCAACAAAAATAAGTTGCCATATTAATAGTAAATCCACCAATGAAGTAATTAGGAATATTAAAGAATTGAATAAATGATTTTATTTTTTGTAATGTGCTCATTCAAAAATGTATTAATAAAAAAAATGAAGATGAGGTTGATAAAGGAAGGGCTTTTTACACAGAACAAATAGAATGGTTTGGATGGACTTTCCGAAATTTAACGAAGTTTGGAGAAGAAGAGAGAATTTTGGGAATATTTTGGTAGATAGAAAAAATAAGATAAAATTGAAGAGAAATATAAAGCAGAATTGAAAAAGAAAAAAAAAAATAAAACAATTAATAGAAACTTATTGTTTTTATTTTCTATTATTTGAAAATATAAATATTTTTTTCTTATTTGTAGGATTAAATGAAATAAAAAGAAATTAAATTAATCTTGCAATAACTTATTCATACAACACCTTAAGAAGAGAACTCATTGTTTGTCTTTCAAAAATAAAATTAATTCAACTCCTTCTTTACTATAATCTTTTTTGTGGATATCTTCTTTTCAGTAGAATAGATTATACTATTTAAGGATAACTAAATCAAAAAGAAGTTATGTCAAAAGAATTTACTGGGATAAATCTCATAACTGAAGACCCATTTACTGAACCAACAAATAGAAGTTATAAACAAGAAGATGAGTCAAACCTTTTTTATTCTCACAAATCATATTTATCAACTGAAAGTGATTTTACAAGCCCTTCTATTATGTGTACTCCAACCCCAAAAGAATACAGAGTGATTAATCTTCTTAATAAAGGGGTGTTAAACATTGTTGGTAAAGTGGCTTATCATGAAGTCTATTCTCATATAAATAAAACTAACACTGGTGACGAGTTTAAAAAACTTGGTTTCTTAAAAGAAAAGTTAAGAACTCCCGTAAAAAAAGAATCTAGTTTAAAGATTTTGTTCCTTGAAGATGAAGAATTAACTCATTGTGAATCTGATAGTGAGTTGTCAATAGAAAGAAAAGAATCATTTATGGATGATAGTATTGAAAACTATATTAAAGAACAATTATTCATTCATAAAAGACATATAGATAAATTAAAACAATGGACTGGATTAACAAAATACCGAATTATTTACAACACTGAAATTGATGAATTTACAACCTTAGCTTTTAATAAAAAAATTAATGGAAGAAGTAATCTTACATTTGTTATACTTACTAGCGATAAATGGGTATTTGGGTGTTTCAGTCAAGCAAGAATTCCCAAAATAAAAGAAAGTGAAGAGTCTGTAGGACCTGAAGATAAAGGTTTTTTTGTTTTTTCTTTGAAAAATCCTCATCATACAACAGCTACAAAAATTATACCAAGAATTCAATCATCTAGATTGGTCTTTTATCCAAAAAATTCAGCACAACTATTTGGAGTTCAAAATGCATTTTTGATTTCTAACCATCCCAACGAATCTTTTGTATTTAGGAATATAGACCAACACTATTCAATACCTTCATTAGTTGGAAAAGAATTATTAACAGGGAATTGTTATCCAGAAATATTTAACACTGAAAAAGTTTTAGTTATTGAATGGTTTTAATCAATTAAATTTTATTGTTTCAAAAAGCCAAAAAGAACTTAGAAAAAGAAAATGTCAATTCAAACTCAATCAACCAATGAATTTGAAAAGTTAAACAAGGCTATTCTTGAGTCAAAAGAAAATTATATACGCCAAGACTTTTTTGGAAAATCTTTTGATGACCTTCACAAAGAAATTTGCCCTTACAGAGCAACAACAACTAATTTCCAAGGAGATGGGAAAGACATTACTATCCTTCAACCAATTGATTTATAAGTTGGGTTTTATTTCTTATTTCAAAACCAAAAAATAATATAATAAATAATAGTTAAATGAAGAATTTGAATTACTTTTGTATTATAAGTTTAGGACAATTTCTTATTTGTAAATTAACTGTTTTTGACAACCCAGTTAATTCTACTAAATTAGCACATGATTGAATATGAACCTTTTTCAAACGTTTAGTACCTTTTATTAATTTTAAGTTGTTACAGTTTCTAATAACCAAATTCCTAACATTATTAGAACATGTTATTTCTTGTATTTGTTTTCTATTAACTGATTCTTTCTTTTTTCTCAAAAAAATGCTATATGAATGCATTAGCTTCAGTTGACGTATTAAAGGAAAAGAATCGTTTCCACCTTCAACAATACTTACTTTAAGGTTATCTGGTGCTTTTATTTTTTCTACTAATTTGTGTAATGCTATATAAATAATTGAAGGTTCTGTTTTCGAGGTATAAAAATCATGGTATGAACCAAGGCATATTGTAACTTTTTTGAAAGGAAATAATTTCAAATTCAATACATCATCAGAATTTAAAAATTCACACACGTCTTTTATTTTTATTTCTTCGTAACATTCTTCAAGTATTTTATTTGGTTTACCTATAAGTATTTGACAATCACTAAGAGAACAGACTTTTTTATCAATTAAAGGTGAATTGAGAAAAGTAATAGGAACATCATCAACAATGATTAGTTTTCCTATATAATTTGCTTCTATTAAAATATTAGGACTTTTTACTTTTAGGACATCAACTCTATCACATTTAAAATGAGATGATGGGCTCATTTCTAATGTAACCTTTTTGCAATTTCCATATTCAATAGATTTAATATTTGGGTCATTAATTTTAATATGATATTTCATTGGGGCTAATACTTTTGGTTTAAGTAAATCATAACGAAGAACAATAATTTTCTTTTTCTTTCGAATTGATTGTACAGTACCAAACAAAGAAATTTCATTTAAAATTTGATCTGATAACTTTATGGGATGAATACCTCCAATAATATTAAAGTGTTTAATAGATAATGGTAATAGAATATTATTATTATAAGAATTTAAAATTTTTAATTTACTATCTGATTGATAAAAGTAAGAAGATTTATCAAAAGTAATACGACAAGAATTCTCAATAGTCATTCTATTTAATTTACAAGAATTAAAACTAATATTATATGATTCATTTATGTTACAATGAATAACATTTTGATTAATAATTTTAGTATTTACAGATGAGCATAAATTAAGTGTATTTATAAAATCAGGTTGTTTATATGAAGTAGTAATAACATCTATTGATTTTCCTATAGAAATACATTTTTGAACTTGTGAAATTATTGTAACACCAATACAATATTGAATGTTCAATTCATTAATTCTTTTAATGTATATATTAAGATTACGACAACCATAACAATTTAATTTAATACAACTTATATTTGTTATTGACATATCATTAACACTTTCTAAATTACAATTAACTAATGTACGACAACCAAAAATAATTTTATTAATTGATGAAAGATTTGGCATAGAAATCTTAACACAATCATTACTGTAATAATGATATTCATTAATACACTTTAAAGTATTATTTAAAATTTCATCTTCTTGTTTAATACTTGGTTGTGGTATGTCTTTCTTTTGAATTTCAGAATTCATATTATTAAAAGGCCCTGTTATTGTACATACACTTGAACTAATCATATCATTAACAAAAGCATATCCTCCAATTTCAATATCACTTCCAATGTATAACATTTTAACATCAACACCTTTTAATTCATTACTAAAGTCATTATAACATTCTTTAATATTAATTGAAGGATCTCTATATACAATTGATAATTTAATATCACTTAAATTAACACATGAGAATAACCAAATTATTTCTTCAATACTCCATTGAGATTTAACACAATCTAAACAAATAATCTCTTTAAGATATGGAGAGTTCTTAATAATATGAAGAATACTTGATGATAACAAAAGATTATATAAAATAAGTCTTTTTAGTTTAGGAAAATACTGAACATTATGAATAGAATTTAATGAGTTTGTTAAATATAAATTTTCGATTTTAGAATAATTATAACTTTTTACTTTTAATGAAGAATTAAAACTTTCAAAATTTACTAGACGAATATAAGTAATTTTGTTAAATAGTTCATTTCTTTTTAATTTAATTGTTAATAAATCTAGAGTACATTGAAGAGTTTCTATGTGACTAAACATTTTAGATATAAAAAGTATATGCTCTACTTTTTGTTTTTCACTTGCAGTAGGAGGTATTGGGATGTATGGATTTATTTTTAAATCTTCTAATGAAGACTTACATTTTTTATTAACAGTCATAAATCTGATAAGACTGGTTTTGTCATTAATGTATAATGCAACATTCATTAAATAAACTTTTTCAACATGACTCATTCTTTTGATCTTGTTTTTATTACTTTTTGAGTTATTTTGAGTCTTTAATCTTTTCAAAGTTTTAAAACCTCATACAATAATTAGTTTACTAATTATTAATTTTATCTATTTTCTTCTTCATCATGTTTTCTTTATTAAGAATTTTATATTCAGTAAAACTAATTTTAGAAGAAGGAGTTCTAATCTTATCTTATTAGAATTGAATTCTTTAACAAAAGTTTAACTTTTAACTCTCTTGAATAATTCATTTTCAATTTAAAAAATTTAGTTACGAACATACCAACAGTTCGCTTGGTTTTGTTGTTTCTGGTATTTGCCCTTCTGTTTATGACTCATAGAACCTTCACAAATACTCAAATCAAAACCTGTGATAGCCAACTGGAATCTCATGAACATTCAATGCTATTTTCTATTTTACCAAAGAGTAGTTATTCATAGAGCTATTGCGTTGAACCAGAAAAAGTAGTATTGTGTAGAGGGATTAAATGAATAATTAATGTTAGTTAAGAAGAGAATAAAAACAAATTAGAAACGTTATATAAAACAGCAATTACAGAAAAAGAAAAATTAAAAAAATAAACCCTAAGAGAAAAAAAAAAGAAACAGATTTTTTATCAAATGGTTAAAGGACACGGTAAACATCAATCAAAGAGATTTGCTGGTAAAAAGGAAAAAGCACCAAAAATATCAAAGTATATTACAAGAACACAAGCTATTAAACGATTGAATTGCACAATGGAACAATTTAGAAAGATTTGTATTTTAAAAGGAATATCACCAAGATTACCTAGTAAAGGACTTAACACATTAACACAAAAGAAAACGTATTATCATATTGATGATATTAAGCCATTAGTTAATGATAAAGTAACATTGAAAATTAAACAAATTCGTGCATTTAAAAAACATATTAGAAAATTAACAGCTCGAAAAGAATTTAAAACTAAAGAACAATTACTTAAAACTAAACCAGTTATTGATTTAGCATCAACTATTCAAGAACGATATCCAACATTCCAAGATGCATTAAATGAACTTGGAGATTGTTTATCAATGGTATTTATGTTTGCATCATATAGAGTATCAAAAGGAGAAAAAGCTGAAGCAGTAAGGTTAGCAAGAAGAATTGCAATGGAATGGGAAGCATATATTAAACATACAAATGCAATTAGAAAATGTTTTATTAGTTATAAGGGGTATTTTTATACTGCTGTAGTATATGGAATTCCTATAACATGGATGGTACCACATCAATTTGCTATTGAAAAGAATGAAACAGTTGATTTTAATGTTCTTCATGAATTTTTATCATTTTATGTTGTTTTAATGAAATTTATTAATTACAAATTATATACAAATGCAGGTCTTAATTATCCACCACAAATTACTAAAATAAACGGAGTAGAATTTCTTGGTACAGTTCAATTAGAACCACTTCAATTACAAAAAGAAACAGAAATTGTTAGTAAAGATCAAGATGTTCAAGAATTAAATGAAGCACTAAAACAAGTAAAAGGAGAAGGAGAAAATCTTGCCACAGAAATGTTGGTTACCATGATACTGGTGCATCTGTCCAAGTTTACAGTCATTTTGTACAGAGTAGTGGAAGTGGATATTT